TTCCTTGGCAATGCTTGTCTGCTTCCCGGGGTGCCGGCCTCTTTATTTGATTGGCAGGGGTCTCCTTCCCTGGGGACACATCGGTATCCTCATTCTCTGCATCATCTTACTCCTCCTTCCCCTCCTCCTCCAACTCTTCCTCCTTTACTTCCTCCTCCTCCCAGGGCAGGTCTGAAGTGTCATAGCCTTCCTGGCCACTGAGCCAGCCTGGAGCTGGAAGGTGACTGGAGGGGAAAGCGCCAATCCGCCAGGTCGACGTGGGGAGGACAGAGGCTCAAAGCGCAGGGTGACGGGCAACCCTCCCTGTCAGCCCGGCTTGCTGGGGGCAGGATCTCCAGAAGAGACTATCAATTGCCCTGGACTCCTTTATTTCTCTGTCTGTCCTCACTCCCCTATAATTTATCCTATATCGAGCCATGAAAATGACCTTTCTGAAGCAACAACTGGATCGTGTCAGCCAAATTTCTCCTCTTGCTCCATCGTGCCACACAGTGCATCTAACTCCTGTGCACACAACCTGATAGAACCCTTCCCACAGGGCCACTCCTGCTGGTCCAGCTTCACCCAAGATCTCTCACCGAGGCCTGTGGCTTGGGCCAAACAGGAGGGCAGTGTGATGCAGTGTTTCAGAGCACGGACTCATTTCACGTAGCTTGCTTTGAGCCCTCACCCCACTGTTCACTTGGACAAGTTATTTGTGGTGATTCAGTGTCTTCATCTATAAAATGTTGTTAGGAGCATTAGGTGAGGAGATATATATATATATATATATATATGCAAATATGTAATTGAAATATAGTCAGTTTACAATGTGTCAATTTCTGGTATGCAGCATAATGTTTCAGTCATACATACACATACATATATTCCTTTTCATATTCTTTTTTATTACAGGTTACTACAAGATACTGAATATAGTTCCCTGTGCTAGACAGAAGAAACTCAATGTTTATCTGTTTTATACATGGTGGTTAGTATCTGCAAATCTCAAACTCCCAATTTATCCCTTCCTACCCTCTTACTCTCCAGTAACCATAAGTTTGTTCTCTATGTCTGTGAGTCTGTTTCTGTTTTGTAAGTTCATTTATGTCTTTTTTTTTTCGACTCCACATATAAGTGGCATTATATATTTTTCTTTCTCTTTCTGGCTTACTTCACTTAGAATGACGATCTCCAGGTCCATCCATGTTGATGTAAATGGCATTATTTTATTCTTTTTATGGCTGAGTAGTATTCCATTATATAAATATACCATATCTTCTTTATCTAGTTATATGTCGATGGACATTCAGGTTGTTTCCATGTCTCAGCTATTGTAAACAGTGCTGCAAAAAGTGTACCTGGTATGTGGTAAAAGCTATGCCACTGTTTGTTAAATAAAAGAAAAATATTTTCCTGGATTGCCAGGTTTCCTCCTATCCCAGTGAATTTACACCTTCAGGTTCTTAATCCCATTTAGGGGGCCCTTCTTTCACTTGGTCAATCTTTAGTCTTCCTTCTAGAAGGAACTAAAATGTCAGGTCCTCTGAAGCCTTTCTACTACACTTTGTTCATCCCCCTCTTAAATATTGTGTTACAGTTTGTCTTAATTTCCTATGGCTGCTGTGACAAATTACTGCAATCCGGGGGACTTAAAACAACAGAAATTTATTCTCATTGTTCTGGAGGCTAGAAGTCTGAAATCAGTATCAAAGGGCTGAAATCAAGCTGTGAGCAGGGCCACACTCCTTCCGGAGTCTGTTGGGGGAAATCTGTTCCTTGCCTCTTCCAGCTTCTGGTGGCTGCTCCACATTCCCGGGTCTGTGGTCACCCCTCCAATCTCTGTGTCTGTCTGGAGATGTGTGCGGACTCTTGTGATTGCACTGAGGGCCCATCTGGATAATAAAGGCTACTCACACCATTCAAGATCCTCAATTTAACACATCTGTAAGACTCTGTTAAATCACTAAAAGTAACATTGACAGGTTTCAGGGATTTGAGGCTATTATCTTTGGGTGCCATTACTCAGCTATTGCATAACTGTTTGCATGTGTGTTGGTCTTTTCACCTTTGGGTGCCAGTGTCTATCATGGGGTAAGCACAGAATGTGTAATCAAATAAATGAAATACATATAGAGGTATAGCAACAGAGGCTGGGAGTCCTCTGTCCATCTTCATTGGTATTCCTTCTTTGCTGAGGCTTTATTTCCCTAGGCCAGAGCTGTTTCTTTCGTGTGCTAATCTGTGGTTGGAAGGACCTTTTACTTATGAATCAGATCAACATCTAGGTTAGAGAAATTTAAGCAAAGGGGGCCTTCAGCCTCGCATGGCTGCTTCTGAGCTGCGGTGAAGAAAAGTAACCAAAACCCTCTGTTCAAACCCCATGTCTTCCAAGCCATGGGGTGGAAGGCAGTGGAAGAGGTGGAGGGGGCCCTGGCAGCTGGAAGGTGACTTTTCACGGAATGTGAGAATGCGGGGTGACAGACTGACAAGCACGAGCTGCATTAAGGGTGCTGTCATCGGTCGGCCTGGGCTGGTGCACTGCCGTTTCCTGGCAGTGTATTTTATACATAGTTTTCTTCGTAATTTAAGCTCATAAATTCATGGCTGTTGCTTAGTGGACCGTTTCTCCACCTCGAGCCACTTGAGTTCAGTGCAGGCATTTTTCTGAAATGAGGCTGTTTCTTTTCCAGTGTTCCTAAATCACAGTCCCCTTCACCAGGAAAATAAGCCTGCTTCAGCCACCACTCCCCTGGAAAGACGACCCAGCAGTTAAGATGACTGTTTTGCTCAGCTGTTGGAAACCTTTCTTAATGAAAGAGGGGAAACTTACTTGCAATGAAAAAGTAAACAAGTAGATGACTTTGCATAGTTAATCCTTGAAACAGTCAATTGTTTACTGTATTAGAATTGCTTATCTAGGTCTACGTCCGTCTGTACATCTTTGTGCTGGTTAGAGCCCCCAGAAATCAGAAAGTTAAAAAACAAATTTCTCCAAGATTTGTCTAGGTAGGTGTTTATTCAGAAACTTTTGAGGTTTGAGAAAATTCTTTCATTAACATGTAATATCCATCTGTAATAAGACAGGATGGTCAGAATCAATCTAGGCATTGTGACAGGCTTAAAGCTCATTTAACATAGTCTGGCATCTGCCGGAGGCTTTTTCGGTCAGAGTAGTTCCTATAGGTTATTCAACGAGAGCTACTTGCCTCCTAAAATAACCTAGAACAACACTTTCCCTCTAGCCCTGCTCTAGTCACCCTTGCATACAGGTCATACTTCTTCTTATCAGTGAAACTTTGCACATGCTGTTCTCTCTGCTTAGAATGCTTGTCCCCCACTTTAAAAATTGGGGGTGGGAGTAATTAAGTTTATTTATTTATTTATTGTTAATGGCGGTTTTAGGGATTGGATCCAGGACCTCGTGCATGCTAAGCATGCACTCTACTACTAAGCTATACCGTCCCCGCCTCCCCTTTCTCTTAAGTTCTACTGATCCTTTGGATCTTCGTTCAGGCATGACTCTCTGAAAAGCATTGCCAGACCAGGTCATATCCCTTAAGCACTAAGCACTGCCCTAGCACTTGAGACTGTTGACAGTTTGTGTTTATTTACGTGATTATCTGATTAATGTCAGCTTCCTCTGCCAGACTGTACAAGGCTCTGTGAGGACGGGATAAGTCAGGTTTCTTTTTTCTCTTTCTTTCTTTTTGGTGTGTGTGTTACTGTTATATCACCAGCCTTTATCACTGTTGTTGGAACATAGTGAGCATGGAATAAGTATTTAAAAGTTGAATGACTTATGTCATGGACTCTCACACTAGCTCTGTCACTGGCTTAGTCGGGAAGTTATTTAGCTTCATAGGTCCTCACTTCCCTCATTAGCAAGAAAATGCCTCTTCAATTCCCCAAATTCTAGGATATTTATGGTTTCTGTCTTAAGCCTACAAGATTGACCAGCCTAAAGCTAGAAAGCCAGCCCTGTTACCCGCCTGCCGTATATCTCCACATGTGGAGAAGCTGTATGCCAAGCAAGAAATTAGAACTGCCCTTGACATCTTAACCTTTTTCCCTAATGCCACTGCCCTGATTCCAGCTTTCCTCAACTCTTATTTAAAAGACTGCAAATTGTGCTCCCTTCACTGGTGGTCCTATGCCTAGTCCTCTCCCCTTCCAGTCTATCTGCAAAGCTGCCAGCAGAACTGTCTAAAACAGGGGAATGATCGTGGCTCCCCTTTGTTTACACACCTCCAGCAACTCCCACACCACCTCTGGGACAAAACTCACCTCTTGAGACGATGCCCTTCCACTGCTCCTTCCTCACCTCCTGCCCGCACCCTGAGGACTCATGCTCCGCTCAGAACTCCTTACACAGCTGCAACTACACACTGCTCTTTCTTTCATGTAATTCTCGCAGCCCAGAAAACTATTTCCCCTTCCTGCACTTGCAAAGTCCCTTTCATCTTTTAGGCTCCACTTAAATGTTACTGGAACGTGTCACCTGCCTTGACCAAATTCTCATTCCCCAGGCTGTTTCTCACTTACCGCCTGTGTTCCCACAGAACACTTTGTACAAACCACCATAATAACACTTATCTCAGAGAGCTATCTATATTTGCAGAAGGATGTTTGGATAAAGAGCATAGGCCTCAAATTCAGACTGATGGGAGGCTGAAACCAAATTCTGCAATTCAGTGGTGTAGCCCTGGATATGATTCTTTCTGAATCTTAGTTTCCTAGTTTTGGAAATGGGAGCCGTAACTCCTAACTCATTGGGCAGTTGGAATTACAGATTAAATGGGATAATGTGTTTATGGAGCTTAGCACAATGCCTGGCCCATAATATTCAGTAACTAATGGTAATTATTATTGCATTGTGAATGTGCAAATGCAAAGGCCCAGGCCTACAGTTTGTCCATCTCTCTATCCCAGTGACTGGCCATAGTGGGAGCTAGTGAATGCTTCTTAAAATGAGAGTATCCACGATGTATTTTTCTTTACTGGAAGGCTAGAGAGGCTTATTCATTTTAGGAATTTTATTGAAGTGTCAAAAATTCTACTAATCTCATGACATACTCCAAATCACATTCACATTACCCTTGCTGAACGAGTCCTGAGCTTAACACATGCAACATATTTTGAGATCAAACTTGAGTTTTAAGTATTAGTGTTTTCCGCTCAGTTCTCTCTCCACACTTTCAGCCCTTAATGCGTGCACATCAATTTCAGCCTTTACACAATCCTATGTGGATCAGATTATCCTTTCTCATATGAAAAACTCTAGTTGCATGTAAGTGTATAGGACTTACGTGCTAAGCACTGTTCTATGAGCTTTACATGTTTAAATCGTCCATGTGACTCATAACCTAATTGACTTTTCTAAGATGACAGAGAGTGGTCAAACCGATTAGAACCACCGTAAATTCTAGCCGTGTGTTCTGGCTACAGCACAGCGTTGACTCCAACAAGTCTTAATATCCTGGACGGCAAGGTTACCTCCCGCCGCCTCCGCAGCCTCCTTCGCACCGTTGTTCCCTGTATGCAGAGGCTCTCAGCGAGCATTTCCTTTTCCGTCCACGTAATTAACTTCCACTGAAGGAGCAGGGGGGAGAGTAGGTTCGCAACGAATACTTGAAACACTCCCTAGAAGGTTTAAAGCCTCCCAGGGGTTAAAAACCTTTAACCCTGCGGACGCACCCTTTAACCGGCAGCACATCAAACTTTTCTACAGCAGTTTCGCTTCGGTGTTCCCGGAAGACTCCTTGACAAGGGCATAGGAAGACAAGGCTGAGAAACATCTTGGCCCCCTGCTCGATTAACCAAGGGCGGGCGGGCGGGCCATCCTACCGCCCGGCCTGGGGTAGGCGTCGGATACCTGGCCCCTGGGCAACCCCATCCCGCCCACCGGAAAGCGGGCAGCG